CACTGCCTGCCTGCGGTGACAAACCACAGACACAGGAATGGAGACTCGCCAGCTACTTTCTCTACTTGCTACCCAATTGTCTGGAAATGAAAACCAGCATTCAAAATGATCACATTAAGAGTACAGCATGATCATATTATACAAACAACAACACAACTCCCCAAACCTCAAAACTTATATATAGCAAGGCTGTGTCTTGTGTCTAGAACATAGACTTTCAAGTCAGAATGTCTGGCACAGACTCTGATTCTATCACAAAAGACATGTCTATCCAGAACCTTATTTTGAAAAAGGGCCTTTGTAGATATTATCAAGTTTATGATTTTGAGATGATATTATCCTGGACTAGGGCAGGCCCTAAATCCAAAAGAGAAGTGGAAATGACCCAGGGAGGGAGAAGGAGGGGAAGACAGAGGCAGACTGGAGTGATATGCCTACAAGCCAAGTGACACCAAGGGTTCCCAAGTACCACCGCAAGTTAAGGGGAGGAACAGATTTTCCCTTATAGTCTTCAGAAGGAGTCAACCCTGTCAACACCTTGGTTTTAGGCTCTGGCTTCCAGAATAAATCTCTGTTGTTTCAAGTTATCAGTTTGAGGTAATGTTTTTATGACAGCTTTAAGAAACTAATACAAAGATCAACCTTGGGAAAAAGGTTTGTATCTTTATATCCCACCTCCTCAGCTGTAAAATTGGGATGTTAATCATTCTAAATACACAGGATTGTTGTTAGGACTAATATATGTAGAGTGCTCAGAACTAGGCTTTTAAGCAGCTATATTAGTGGCATAACATATTTATTACTATGACCTTCATATTCACGAATATACATGTATAAGGTGAAGAAGCATCAGGCAACATCTCTGGGTATCAGGATAAAAAATAATTGTTTTTATTGTGCTACTCTGTGTCTTACAGATTATGTACACAAGACATTTTGAGTTTTGCAATCAGAAAGCATTTGTTAAACTGATATGATCATTTTATTTATGGTGTAAACCTGCAGACTCACGAGCTCACAGCTGAGCTGTTTTGCAGTGGTAGGAGAGTTAAACAACATGCACACTGCCAGGAATTTTATGGTGCTACAGGAATGGAAATCTGATGATTGGTACCTGAGAACAACAGTGCACAAATAGGTAACCTACTCTTTTGGAAAGTAAGATGCTCTGAAAAATGGCTTCCTGTTGCCTAACACAAAGTCTTGTTTTTGGTATGTGTGTTTCTTTTGACATTAATAGCACTTTTGCAAGAACAGCATGAAATTTCCGGATTTCTGAAACCCTTTTTGTTCTCAGAGTTTATAAGCTGACTCTACACTATTCAGATATCCAGGTATTTACACACAGTACATTAACTACATTGACTCATTTCTCTTTTGAAAAGCATGATTTTTGTGATGAACTACTAAACCCAACTCCACCACCACCGTAAGGACTATTAAGAATGGTAATGTAAACTGAGTGCAGTGACTCCTGCCTGTAATCCTAGCAATTTGGGAGGTGCAGATAGGAAGGATCACGGTTGGAAGCCAGCTAGGGCAAAAAGTTAGCAAGACCTCATTTCAGGCGTGGTGGCACACATGTCATCCCGCCTACTCAGGAAGCACAGGAAGAGTAAATAGGATTGCAGAGCAGGTAAGACTGGGCATGAATGGGAGACCCTATTTGAAAAACAACTAAAGCAAAAAGGGCTGGAGCATGGCTCAAGTAGTAGAGTGCCCGTCTAGGAAGTGTGAGGCTCTGAGTTCAAATCTTAGTACTACCACCACAAAAAAAAAAAAAAGTAATACAGCCTAAAACAAGTATGACAGGAGGGATTTAGAAAAGAATGGTTGATTGCAAGCCAGGATGAGGTACAAGGGTGCTGATGCTCCCAAGCTCTTCAGGGATAAGGTAACACAAAGTGTTTCATTTTCTACAAAATTGCCTTCCTGGTCCCATAATAGGCAGGTGGCTGGCAAGTACTTTTTAATAATGACTATGAATCTGCAAAACACACCATCTGCAAATTATTGTTATTAGCAGTTCCTTACTGTCACATGAAACAGGTTGTATTTTAGCTTAGCAGAAATTGAGGGGCTGCCAAGTTAATGTTCTTATTCAGGGTCCCCATCTGAGTGAGCTGCAGGACCTCTGGTAGTGAGAACTGTTAACCTAGACGTGTTTTAAAATTCAGGGAAGAGGTTGACAGTGGTTTGTGTTTTTAAGCATGGCCATGAGGGCTTGCTGGGAGCTGGGACTGGGGACACACCACAGAGGTGCTCCTAGGGCATAGTCTCTTTGAGACTATGGCACTGTCTACCTGCTCCCTGCCTTACTGCCACAGTCATTCTTCCATATGGGTTTTTCTTTCTGCCTCAGGCCACTGAAGACTAAGATCTGAGCCATACCTTCCCTGTCCCTTCTTGTGCATGAGAGAATGTTTATCGTTTATCTCATGATTTTGCTTCAAGTGTCTACAAATAATGGACAAGATGCAGGAAACAAGGTAGGAATGAAAGGAAGAGAGTAGTGATAAAAGGCTGAGAGGGAGAGAGGGAGAGAAACAGAATACATACAGTGTGATCCAACAGACAACTCTTAAAACCCTAAGAAGTGGTTAGGAATGAGGCCTGGTGCTATTCTCCATTCACTATCTCATTCTCTAATTTGAGCTCCAAGAATTTGGTTAGTTCATCTTTGTCTCTGCCATCACCCTGCCCTTTGACAAAGAGACCTGAGGACCCACACTCAATTTCCAAAGGCTTAACAAAATGGTTCATGGCTTGTTTTCACTTCTGTAGTCACTCAATTATCCGTCAAGCTTCCTACTAAGCTCCTGACTCCCTAATCTCTATCTCTATACTTGACTTGTCCCTGAGTGCCAGACCTGTTTCCAGCCAACTCCTTGATATTTCTCCTATTGTGCTCCAATAGTAACTTAAATAAAATATGCACAAACACTAGACTCATTTTCCTTTCCCTGAACTTGCCTCATGACTTGTAAGTTCCCAGTGTTTGCAAAGGCATCGCCACCTTCTTACCAATCAAATATTGAAAGTGCGGTGCCATCTCTGGCTCCTCCCTCCCTCGGCACATATTCAAAGTTCATGTGGGTTAATCCACATCACATCTCCTGCATCTGCTTTACTCTCTGTTTCTTTCCAGTATTCCCACTCCAGCTCTCCTTGTATCTTTGGTGTGTTGCTATGGCAGCCTATTGACTTTAATTCCCAAACCCACACCCCCCATTTCCCCAGCTGGAGTCACACTTGACTCCCACAATAACTTCCTAACAACATCCTGACCCCATTAATGTTCAAAACCTTCCATGAAGGGTTAGTTTCTAAAACATGAAGGGTTAGTTTCTTTTACTTTCCAGCCTTGTTCTTTATCTGTCTCTACTGTTGGTTGCTAAACAACTCACCTAATCTCATATTTGGCCTATGATGTTGGCCTCTGTTCTTTTACAGATACTGTTCTGGAATAATCCTCTCTCTCAGCTTTCAATGTCCAAATCCATCTTGTCTCTAAAAATCATGCTGTCAAGATTCCCAAACCTTGGCAGCAAGTGAGATCTTTGCTTACTGAGCCATGTGTATCATTTTATCTGTTCCTCCCTCACGGCTCACATGGCATTCAATCTTGTGTTGCATTTTCAGAGGATGTCTGGGAGAGGAACACATCTGATCCATCTCTGCATCTCCCACAGCACCTTGTGCTGCTGGCCTGAGCCCAGGGCAGGTATCTGCCAACAACCAAATGAACCACTCTGAACCTCCACCCTTCAGTCTAACTTCTACTGGCGATGAGAAACGCAACTTGATTTCTGATCTGCAGCAGCTTACTGCTCATTTTGGATATATTAATAATATATATTAATTAACAAAAAGCACTAGCAGATAGCAGGATCATGAAATAATAAAGTATGCATATTCTAAGAAGACAAGTTCTATTTTTATGAAATGAAACTGGACCTTAGTAATTGTTATACTTTGCATCCTAGGGGAAGGAAGTAAGAGGATAACAGGCATAGAATCCACAATAAGTATGGTTTGTTCAGAAGATTTTGAATAAACCTGCTGTGATTAAGAAAAGGCACGGGGGGAAAGTGACCTAATATTCACCACACCCACTCATGCCAGGACATGGATTAAGTACCTTGTAGATATTATTCCATTTAATCCATGCAACAACCCTGTAAAGTAGACATTGTCACTGCCAATTTTATAAGAAAGGAGGCTGAGATTGGAGGGGATCAAATAACTGGCTAAGGTCACAAAGAATTAGGCAGCAGAGGTGGGATTTTAAAATGGCAGCAAGCAGGCTTCATTGCCCCATGCTGCCTCTTCTAGAGCAAATAGATCCTGTCTGGGGGTTGGTAACAGTGTTGAGGGGGGTATAATGAAAGGGTATAGGAAGGAGAATGTAGTGGAAATTTGATGTACTCATGTATGAAAATGGAAAAATGAGACCTGTTGAAACTTCCAGGAATGGAGGGAATAAAGGAGAACGATGGAAGGGATGAATTCAAAATGATATATTGTAAGAATGTTTGTAAATGTCACAATGTACCCCCCCAGTACACAATCACGTGGTAAGAAGAAAAAAAAATTATCATGGGATGATTTCTTCAGGAGGGTGGACTTGTTGCATTTATGAATAATTCAAGTTGTATAACCATAAGCACAATGCATAATATATGCGGGGCTCAATACATGTGAGTTGATCTGAATGCAAGGCTGTGCACCTAGAGAGAGAAGATAGAAGATTCAGCAGCTAAGCAAATGCTCTAGGGAGAAATGTCTAAGGAGGGCAGTCTTGGCATTGGGAAATATCTCTAGACCAAAAGAAAGCATAAAAAGGGGATAAAACTAGAACGCCTGGGTTAGTATCACCCAGCTCCAATCTACTTCAGCTATAAGGGAAGAAAGATGATCCAGCTGAACACAGCTTTGTTTGTAATGAACACCCATCCTCAGAAGTGATGAGTGGGAAAGGAAATGACAAAGTAACATACTTGGTCTCATTGGCACATCGGATCTTGCAACCTTCCTTGGGAATCACTAAACCCAGGTGCATTCGGAGCCTGCAGTTTGTAGGTCCCGTGTGCGGCCACACGTGAGTTCCAGGGTGCATGATGGAATATTTGATCTGCATAGAAAATATGACACCTTATCAGCCATTCATCAAGGTGTGGAGGAACTGCTACACTAAAGTGACAGTACAAATTACTGTCAACTTGGATTAGAGCCTTTGTAAGGCTCAGAATTTACATTCACATTGTACTTCTTTGTGAAGGAACTAAAAATAAGCACTCACATTTTCCACAAAGTGATAAACACTCAACGTTTTCCACCCTCAGTTTTTTATGTCAACTACATGAAATTATGTTGCATTAAAAGTAAGTGAAAAAAAGGCATTTGTTGTACCAAAGGAAACAATTGTTTCTTTGTAAAGGTCAGCTCTCCCTTATTACTGACAACTACTGCATTCTCCAAAGCACAGGAAAACACTCTTGGTACCTGTCCTCTTCTGCATCCTGTTGTCTCGGGGAACTTTTCTAGTAAAGTGCAGGTTTTAGGAGCTCCTTTACAAGCATTTTCATTTTTTCTTCCTAGAACAGTAAATGATAAAAACAGTTGTTAGAATCAAATCACAAGCCAGGAGCTGTGGTGTGTACCTGCAGTCTCAGATACTTGGATGGCTGAGATGGGAGGAGCAGGTGTTTGAGACCAGCCTGAGCAACATAGTGAGATCCTGTCTCAAAATACAAACAAATTCCACCCCTCCACAAAAAATTACAGTAAGTTTTAATCACCCTATCTAGACCATATGTGAACTGTACAGTTGTCCCCATAGTAGGAATGTGAAGGCCAAGTAAACACAAGAAGACAAAGTGACTCGGCAGAGAAAGAACCTGAATTCTCCACTAGGTGTTGGACTATCAGATATTAAACTAAGGATGTCTAATGGGCAAGGTACATGCTGAATACTTAACTTTTCCCCTTGGTAGGCAGAATAATGGCCCCTCCCAAAGATGTAAATTTAATCCCAGGATCCTGTGAATATGTGTGTTTTATGGCAAGGAGAAATTAAGGTTGCAGATGGCATTGAGATTTCTAGTGAGCTGATCTTAGACTAAGATTATCCTGGAACAACTGGAGGGACCTAATGCAATCACAAGGTATGTAAATGTGAAAGAGGAAGAAGGAAGAGTCAGAGTGATATAGAATAAGAAGACTAGAGCAGTCACTGCTGGTTTTGAAGATGTTAGGTGGACACAAATCCAGGAATATGGGCAGTCTCAAGAATCTGGAGTCCCAGAAAGATGACATCCTGATTTTAGCCCAGTGAGTCCCATTGTAGACATCTGACCTGCAGAATGATAAGATAATAAATGCATATTTTTCAAATCACTAAGTTTATGGTAATTTGTTACAGCAGCCACAGAAAACTAATGCATTCCCTAAGGAAGGAAAATGCCTTCTATTACATACCAAACCTAAAAGTACATTTCTAGGACTATATCAAAGTGTTACTAAGACTTTTCTTTCTCAGTTTGGGAATTGATCCTAGGGCCTTGTGCATGCTGTACTACTAAGCTCTATCCTTGGCTGTTAAAACAGTATTTTAAAATGGAATTTAGTGTCTTTTCAATATAAGATCATCTTTTACTTTTGGGGTTTGAACTCAAAGCTTTGGGCTTGCTAAGCAGGTGCTCTACCACATGAACCATTCCTCTAGCCCACTTTAAATGTTGCTAAAGAATGGAATTTAAATGAAGAGGAGGAAGAGCTGTTTGCTAGAGGATGTTTTCTATAAGTAATTACATCAGGATCACAGATTCTGGGATCTAGTCTTAAGCATCCTGGACCACAAAAACTTCTTCACACTCTATAAAATCACTGTTTATTAGGGAAGAGATGCTTGGAATGTGTGAAGCGTTACTGGCTGTCTTGGCAGCGGTGTGGGGGGGTGTAAGACAATGGAGTTTTTAAAAGACAGAAACATTTTAATTTTCTATTGAAAATTCCTACAAAGAGCTGCTACACCTGAAGCTGAGTTTAATTTTACTTAATTAGGGTCAGCTGTGTACAGAGACAAAACAAGCTATGCTACTTAAAGGTATCTCAATAAAATGGATCTCGAGAATTTAGGAAACAACTTATATATCCATAATAATTTTTTCAAGTAATCTTTTTGTCTCTTAATTAAGTAAAATGGCAATTGTATTTTATTTATAAATGGAGTACCCCAAATAAATTGAATAATAAATGTCAGTTTGAACAAATATACAAATGTACAGGCCATCATAAAGCATTTTCAACCTGAGTTTTCCAGGTCTTCCCAAATGCAGGGGCTGAGGATGGCTTGGCAGGAGAACTGGTGTGCCTTTCCTGAATGGGAGGTAATAAATGGGCAATCAAATGGATTATGTCACTAGAGTTTCCACTTGGTCAGGACCTGGACTGCACAAAACCTCTAGTGCTTTAGACAGTAAGGGCTGAGCGCCCTTAATCTAAAAATCCAAAATCTGAAACTTACTGAGCATCAACCTGATGCTCAAAATGTTTCAGGTTCTAGATCAGATTTTTGGATCACAGACGCTCAACTGGTTAAAATCTATGTAAATACTCAAAAAATCTGAAAAACTATGAAATCTGAAATATTTCTGGTCTCTAGCATTTCAGATAAGGGACACTCAATCTGTGTATCTTTTCTGGTCTGAAAACAAAGATTCTCTCTGGGTGAAAAGCTGTGCAATAGATGTTCAATTTTTACGGATTGCCAGTGGTAGTTTAAAGTATTCATGCATGATCAGAAGGGTTCAATGAGTGCAAGAATGATTCCACAGGGCTCATCATGGGCCAGGTGCTTAGAGTGAAATACTGATGTCCACAACATCCATTAAGGGCCCCATTTGTTAGTAGAGACTGGTTTCTGGATGCATGCTATTCTAAAGCACTGCCCTAGGAAGCAGGGATTCTGTGAAGCATAAATGGTATTAATGGAACCCAAGTATCAGATGAATGCACAAGGGCCAACAGAACTAACTCATCTTAGCGATATGCTGAACAGAAATTGCCTGTTACCCACATATGGACTGTATAGCACGCTTAGAAAAAATCTTGTAGGAAAAAGCTGACAGTCATTTGATCTTTCTTCTTATGGATATACCACTGAAAATGTTACTGAAATTGTTTGTCTTCTTACACAGAAACCAGTCCAAAAGCACAACTGAGGCAAATCAGTGTCCCTTCAATGTAAATTGATTGCTTACAACACTCCTTTTTGTGCAGCTAGAGATATGCAGTACACACTGTTTGGTCATTAAAATGGACTTTTTTTTTGATTAAAAAAAAGTTAAGTTGATGTTTAAGAGAGTTGATGTTTAAAGTTCAATGCTCCTCAATTTAAAGACAGATTAACACATTTACTCACTGACTACACATTGAAGCTCGTCTATGTGCCTGGGTGTGGGTTAAGCTAAAGAAATATACTGAACATGAACCACTTCCTACTTCTGAAGAGCTCAGTAGTTACTATTTTCTTGTTACTTTGGTGTGCTACATTTCCAACAATCTCAACTGTCTTGATATAATTTTGGCTTGCATCATCGCCTACATTTTGTAGAAGGAAATAAGGCTGAGTGTCAGGGAAACTCATTTCTAGGACAATGATAGGCACATGGTGGGTTTCTGAGTTATATCCACATGGGAGGGTTACTTGTCAGTAACATGCCATTTAACAGGAAAGACCAGTGATATATATGTATATTAATATATACATATAATACATATGATACATATTAATATATAATTTCTAATTTTTCTCTATATTCAAATATGCTATGTACATACACATAGGCACATACATATACAATACACACAAATAAGTGCTCAGATATACTTTTTAAAAACAGTGAGTGCATTTCAAAAGTCTGGGTTTCTGGGGCAGACTGCCATAAGTCTAGGAATCCCAGCTCTGCGATAATTACCAGAAGACTCTTACCTGGTTATTGGCTACAGAGAACAATCTAGAAGTCAGAGCTCACCTTGCTGCCACAGTGTAAACTGGCTCCAGTCTCCCTTCTCCCTCAGGTTTTCATCTTCAGGCAGGAAGAGACCTTTGGCTTCATCCATCACTGCAAGGCCTTCATCACGGATTAACTTCCAGTTCCTTTCTAAAGACTAGAAGGAATGTTCTGGTTTTACTGGGATGAAAATTTGCCTTGTAGAACATCTTACAATGACTCTCAGCTTTGTGTTGGTTTAATAAAGTAATGAATTTTTGCTCTTACTTGATTGCTTATTTCTTTGGAACCTGTTGCCAAGGATGTTAAAAAACCAAAACCAAAACTTTTATTATTTTTCTAAACCAAATGCTTTTGAAGAATAAAAATTTCAGTATTTCCTAGAATCTTCATAAAATAATTCCCTCCAAAATTGTTTTAAAGATTTCGTAAATGTTGGTTTTGTTTTCTTTTCATTTTTAAAATCCAAACCTAACAAGAACATTGATCTTGATCAGTACACTACAATAAGTTCATGTGAAACTCCCGCATCCAAACTGGAATACAAATCACAGATTTAATTTTACCTCTCAATAGAGTTCCTTACAAAGATGCACTTCAACATGGTAAATATTAATTAAATTTCCAAAGACATCAGAAAAGTTCCATTAGAGCACTTGATACATTATAAAATTAGCAGCAAAACACAACAAATAAATGTTCTATTGTTTAGAATTTAGTCAAACAGACCTTGACTTCTTATTTATGAGGCTGCTTTAGCCCCAGCCAGGCCTCAAACTGGCAGAGTCTAGGAGTGGGAAGACACACGGCAGCAGACCAGCAGAACAGTGGAAGATTCTCTGGCCATCCTCACCGTCACACTGTGGGGAGGTTATAGACCCGGAGCAGTGGGGCAAGCAGGCAGAGATAAGCATCCACAGCTGTCCACTGAGATGAATTGTGAGCAGAACAATAGAAACAGCTTTCCTACAGTAAGTAGGAAATAGAAAAAGTTGTACAAATAAACTAGGATTTTGAAACATTTTAATCATTTCTATGTTAGGTGAGAAGTGGATGAAATAGTTGCCCATAGGCAAGTAAGTACACACTAGCCGATTTCAAGTAGAATGTTACATTGTGACTTATGAGCAGGAGATCAGTCCGGAGTCAGTAGCTCAAACCTGTAATCTAGCTACTCAGGAAGCTACTTGGAATACAGAAGCAGGAGGAACATGAGTTTGAGGCCAGCCTGTAAAGTCAGCAAGACTCTCAAAAACAAAAGAGTTGGGTGGGAGTGTAGCTCAAGTGGTAAAGCACTTGCCTAACAGGGATGGAAGGCCTTTGGTTCAATTCCCAGTACTGCCAAAAATGGGGGCGGGGGGGGAAGACTGTCTTAAAAGTTTATCTGGACATAGTGAACTGTAACTTTACTTGACCATGTAAACATAACCTCCACTCACAGGAAATCAGTAAATCTCAGCCAATCATGAGAGGCCAACTGTTGAAACAATACAGACCCAAGCTATAATCAATAGGACTGTTCTACTTCACCTCCATTTCCTGTATGTCATTTCCTTTTCTCTGGCTATTAACAAAATCTACCCTTGGGGTAGAGACTTCTGAACCATTTTGAATGCAGATTGCTGCCCTGTTGTAGGATCACAGATGAGTCCAATTAATATCTGTAAAGCTAGATTTGTTGTAGTTTTCTCTTTTTAAGACTGGAAAATTTTTTGTATCATGTGAAAACATTAGTTATTAAAATATTGTAGGGCAAAAGATTTTATAATTCTGTTTTTGGAAATCCACACATTAATTTGTGTCAACATCTGCACCTGCTCTTATCATTGCCCTCTTTAGGTTGGTGCTGCTCATTTGTCCTTATTCAGCACTTAGTCCATCAAATAGTTTCTATATTTTTTCCATCCAAAAATAGACAGTCCATAACTATTAAGTCAAAGGCCACATTTTGATAAAGGAAGAGTCAACAGTGCTTACTTTGGCAGGTCTCCAGACTGAGAAAATGCAAAGATTTTTGTCAAAAATCTCGATTATGGAAAGAAAAAGCAAAAACACATTCCAGGTCTCTGCAGTATGTTCACATCTTCTCAAATGCACCTAAACTGCCAACACTCACTGCTGTTATTGTAACTTATTCAGGTTGCTAGATAAATCTGTTAGATTCTTGTTAAATTGTCACACAGACAAGGAGAGAATTACCTCGCTAACACATGAAATTACTTTTCAAATGAGGTGACTGGAGCCTTATAAGGGCAAGTTCTTCTCTTCCCTTCCAGTATTTAGAAATTCCTTTCTTTTCTTTTGAAGGGTGATTTTAGGGGCATAGTTGGAAACAGCTGATCTTTTGTTACTAAAATAGGACACAAAGCCCCAGAGGAAATGTTAAAGTGATTGCATCACTCAATATAATTTAAAGTTTTTACTTAAGGACAGGCTAGTTTTTTTGTAAGAAATGTCATCCCTGTATCTTTTTTCATCCTCAGCCTCCCTGGGAAGTGTTGTCAGGGTACTTTTCCATGGGTAGTAGTGAATTTTTTTTTTTTTAAGCATCCTTTTGGTTTTCCCTTGTTATACATGCCACAGATGAGTTGGATGACAGACTCATGCACAAAAGGTGCAAAGTAATACAGAGGTCACCCCAGTACCTGACTCCAAACACCTGTACCATCTTGCTACAGATGTGCTCTATCCTGTAACGGTTAATCTTGGTTGTCAACTTGAGTTCAATACTTTGTCACAGAATTTTACAGCTGGAAGGATCCATACTGTTGATCTAGAAACGTTTTCACCTTAGGGATGAGGAAATGACTCTGGGAGTCTAGTGGCCAGTAGAACTAACACCAGAATCCCACTCTGCTATCTCCCCATTGCCCATTTCTAAGGCACCCGTGTGAAAAGAGAGGGTTACATTTAGGCATGGGACTTTACACTGAGGCCTTGTTCCCTTCTGGAGCGCAAAGCAGTTGTGTGGTCCCACAGGTGCCCGTGCACAGTGTTTTCCTGAATATCCATCACGAGCAGGTACTATCCAGGTGCTTGGATAGTTCTGCACTCCCTGCTTGGCACTGTGCAGCAGACACGATTCAAACAGTTCACATCCTTGACAAGGGGAGGGAAACTGGGTCAATCAAAAGATAGCACCAGGTAAGTCTTGTGACATGAAGAAAAACACAAAGATAACAATCATGATCTCCTAAACGTTCAATGTAAACACTTTCAATCAAAGTAATGTAAGCCTGGGGGAATTTTCCAACTTTGGCAGGCACAACAGGGTCTTTTGGGAGAAATCTGGGTAAGGATATGGAAACTTTGTTTTTCACCACACAACAAGGACCACATTTTATAAAATTCACGTGATTACAGAAAATTAAGGACCTATCTAAATATGGACAGTGTGTGTGTGTGTGTGTGTGTGTGTGTGTGTGTGTGTATGTAGTCTTGGTCAATTTGGGTTGTTATAACAAAATACCATAGACAGGTGGCTTATAAACAATAGATATTTACTCTTCAGTTCAATGCTGCAAGTCCAAGACCAAGGAATTGGCAGACTTGGTGTCTGGTGAAGCTCTGTTTCCTGTTTCATTGAGTGGCAGTTCCTTCCTTTAAACTCACATGGTAAAGAGAGCAACACAAGAGGCTCAGGAGGCCTCTAATCACAATTATGAGGTCACTACCCTCATGATCCAATCCCCTCCCAAATGCTGCATCTCTGAATATCACCTGGGAGTTAGGACATCAACATATGAATTTGGCAGGGACACATTCAGACCACAGTAGTGTGTGTGGGGAGAAGGGAGCAAAGAGGGTGAGAAAAAGAGTATGAATTTTCTCTACAGTAGTCACTAATCACTGAGTTGTTTGAGATGGGAAGGAATACCATATTTTTGGAAATTCCAATAGGAACTTGAACACTTACAGAGTTAGCAATGCCTACATTTTTAAAGGCCTCCTATGAAATAGTTCCTAAATTAACCCATTTCATGAAACTGAAGAGAAATTAGTAGCACAGCTATTTGAGTTGCTTGTTGGGAGATAATGGCTTCTAATGCACACTTTTTCTGTGACTACAGAGACTAGAAAACAGGTTTGGTTGTTATTACAAAGCCATATGGCTCCATAAACCCATCACCAGCAACTTGCCTTTGGAATTGTACCTCAGCTATATTCCTTACTCTAGTCATCAACAAATAGACTTCTCACTCTCAGGCCATACTAATTCCACAATGTACCCCAGCATGTCTTCATCCAAACACTCTGTCCACTTAAGAGTCCTTTTTCATCTCCCCAGCCAGCCTGCTCATACCATTTGATGAGTACTCTCCTCCTTAATGTCAAATTAGAGTAAGTCCTATGAAATCCTCTTTTGAAGCTGACTTCTTAAAGAAAGTCTTTCTTTTGAGGCTAGTGGTGTAGCTCAGAGGTAGAGGTCATGTTTAGTGTGCTTGGAGCCTGGGTTCAATACCAAGCACCAAAAAACAAAACAAAAAACCCCAAACTTACTTGCTTACATCTAAATAGTATGCTTATATTACTACTCTTAATTTATTAATTCAGACATTATTGCTCATCTTCTATGGAAGGCTAATAATTTAACAATATGATGTCTTTCTCTTTTCCCTCCTTGTGAAATCTTTCATACATCTGTGTAAATTCACACTCAGATTTTCTATTATGACAATGAGGTATCATTCACACTTCACTTGAGTTGTAATGATTACACTTCATCTCACACTCAGCTTTCAAAAAATTCTGCCCTTTCTTTGTTGATTTAACTTTCTAATGCACTTAATACTACTTTTTCACTAACTCCAATTCTACTATAAAGTCTCACGATGCTATAGGTTGAGCATGCCTAATTAAAAAAATCTGAAATCTGAAATGTTCCAAAATCTGAAACTTCTTGACTGATGACAAGTAGAAAATTCCACTTCATGAAACTGTTTTATGCACAAAATTAAAAAAAAATATAATTACTTTCAGCTTATGTGTTGAGGGGCATATGAAACATAGATGATTCTGTGTTTACATTTTGGTCCCTTCCATAAGATATCTGATTATATATAATGCAAATATTCCAAAATACAAAAAAATCTGAAACACTTCTAGCCTTGGGAATTTTGGTAAGGGATATTTAAGCTGTAACCCTTTGCAAAAAAA